ATTAAATTAATAATAGATGTTTACGAACTCGAATAGCCTGTTTTGAATGTGTTAATATACACTTATCACCCAAATTACAGTGCAAAAGCATCCAAAATATGGCTGGACTGTTACTGCTGAAGCAGGTAAATTATTATACATAATATATTCATTCATGATAATGATTACATATAAGAATTATTTAATTAAAAATAGGTACATCATTATCTAAGCTTGATAAAACACTCCGAAATCATGACCCACCACTTACTCTTGATTCTGAGACTTTATATGACACATTTCGAGTATCTGGTGTTATTGCAACAGGATCGCATGGTGAAAAAACCAGTTCAGGCATTATGTCAGATCAACTTTGCTCTATGAAAATCGTCACTAGCTCTGGTGAAGTATGTGAATTCAGTGAAGAAATAAACAAATTAGAATTCAATGCTGCGAAAGTCAACTTAGGTAACTACTAAACTTTTACTTCGATTACTATCTTATCCATCACTTCTAACTTTATTGTCATTTAGGTTTGCTTGGTACAATTTATTCGTTGACTTTCCGTGTACAACCAATGTACAATCTTCGTATGACTGATATCTATGTTCCAGCAAAAAAATGGCTTAATAATCCACAGAATATCAAAAATCTTTTAAAATCATCTGATGGTATTAGTATAGCTTATTGGCCGTTCAATGGGTTCAATCAGAGCGATCCAAATCCTATTGATCCTAATAGAGATCGAATTGGGATTAAGAATTGGGTACGAACTGATGAACCTGTGAGCTTTACACAACAACAACTCGAACAATCATATGAAACTCAAAAACAGGGAGTTATGCAGCAGTATGAACTCATAAGAAGTAACTTACAAAATCCTGAGGCAACTCCGAATATTACCGCCACAATATGGAATAGTGTTATTAGTAATGGTAATACTAGTTCCGTATTTCAAGCTCCTGATGCTATTCATTATGTAGCTAGTGAAGAAAGTGCCAAGTTTGATTTCGTGGAAATTAGTTTCAAGGTTGATCCGGATTTCTTCAACGTCGCTTCAGAATTTTCTCATGTAATCCAAACAGTAAGTATATTACTGTATCAAATATCCTATTTCTAATATATTGTTGATTGACTTTTATAGCTCTTCAAAATAACCTTATATATTTGTAGCTATATGAATTTGCAAAAAAAGGAAAGTTTCCATTAAATTATATTACAGATCTTAGAATCATAAAATCAACTGAAGCATTATTATCTACTACTTTCAATCGTGATCCAGACGCATTATATTGTCAAATGGATTTTGTGTCAGTTACTGGTACTCCTAACTTGGAAGAATTCATAAAAGTAATAGCACAGAGATTGTTTGATAAGTACAAAGCAAAGTAAGAAATTATTAAATTTTTTATTTGCGACAAATTTCGTTGATCACTGATTATACAAATTAATTTACTATAGACTTCATTGGGGAAAAAGATGGGAATTTATTCCAAATGTGAAGTCTTATCTTTCTAATGTTTTATCAGATCAAATTAAACAATTCGAGAAAGTACGTGCAAAGTACGACCCTGATAAGATGTTCTTTGATAATAAGTCTTTGCAGGATATATTTAGTCATGCTTTAAGTTCACGAGATCGTAAAGGTTCAAGAAGGAAAAGAAGAATTAGTGAATATTAAAAAGATTTTGTTTGAAGCCCAACAATATTACGTAGAACCATTTAATCGATTATAAAGCATGAAAGAAATTTTTTATTAATATAGATCGACAAAGCTCTTAAAAAATGCGTATTGGACTTAGATAAATATACTATAACATATCAATTAATATAAACAGTCTTATTTTATTGATTTTATTTTTAATGTTATCAAGTACAACTTCAGACACTTGAAGTTGCAATTTCAGGTTAGTGATGTTATTTGCAGCTATCCACATAATTGATCATCTATTCGCAAATTTTCATACTAACTAGAGGATGCAGATGTGGCCGGCTTCGCTGCCCGGTTGAGGCTGCCATGTATTATTTCTTAAAAGAAACAATATATAATGATTAAATAAGATTATATTAGTAGATTTAGATATATTTAAGCGGATTTTATTATATATAAACATATGTATAAAATATAAATATATAGCATATTGTTTTATTTGATATTTATTTTTTTAAGTTACTTGGATATGGGATTCAATGACTTAAAATATAGAGTAGAAAGTATGTTTTAGATATTAAGTTAGAACTGGTGCTAGTTATTATAAGAATAAATTTTACATTGTAGAAATAAAACTTATGTGTTTAAGGAATTTATTTACTAAGAACAGACACATTGAAGTGGTAGATTTAAATTAGAACGTAGAAATATTTGGTCAATGTCTTCGTTTACTGCAGTTAAAGTCAGGCAGAAGTTGGTCTGATCATCTAATAAATCCAATTTAATTTTAATTATTTATACAGTTTAGAGTATTTTTTTAAAAAAATAAAAACTAATCATAATGAAATAAAAAAAGCTATATAGAAGGTTTCATCAGAGCTGTAGAACTTTATAGCCAAAAATAAGATCTAATTCTCATCTGTTTAAAAAAGTTTGTATAGTAATAACATTTCATATCCTGATAAAATTAACTTGTTACTATGCTAATATTTTTAAAAAGACAAAATTAGATCTTATTTTTAATTATTGAGTTCTAAAGTTTTAATAAAACTTTCTATACAACTTTTCTTTATTTTATTATAATTGGTTTTTGTTTTTTTTTATAAAAAAAAGTCTTCTAAGCCATATAAATAATGTAAAATTAAATAGAATTTATTAGTAATTAAATGAAATTCTGCCTATGACAGTTAATGAAAAGTTTAGGTTTTAAGTATTATTAAGATAATACGTATCACTTAACGAACACAACAAACAACGTATTTAACATATACTAACAATATGTTAAAACAAAAAAGATCCTTGCTATTATCAATACACATTGCCAAAAATAGGAAATCTAACTTACTTTCAAGGCAGGAAATTTTTTGTTTTTATCATTAATGTATTCAATCACATGAAATTTTTCAGTTATGAGAATCACATCTTTTTCAAATGAGGAAAGATTAAATCTCTGGGTTGCATTCTGAAGATAAAAACCTTTTAAAAAGATTTTTAAAGGTGAATCTAAGCTTCAAGATTTTATAGAACCCGAAGCCTTAACTACACAGATATTTTTGCCAGGATTTAACCAATAGTCAGTTATATAACAAAGCACAGTAATAATACTAGGCATTGTTATCATAGTAAGAGAAAGAAATTCTGGTAACACTAATTTTTTTTTGGTATTTTTTTATTTTAATTTATCTTCCAAAAAATAATGTTATACAAAAAAATAAACACTGCGATCCTACCTTAACAAGTACACGATAAGTGTAAAGTTTTCGATAAGGTTTAGCTAGAATGATAATGTTAATACAAACGGTATATAGAAACTATTTATTAAACATGTCACCTCAATACCAACACAGCCATAAAACGTGCAATAACATATCACAAGATTACCAGCCATATCATGTCGATAAGATTTTAATACTAGTTATAAATATACTTCACTAGCCACATACTACACTCATAGATACTGAACACGATTTTTTGCTGAAAAAAAAACAAAAAAAAAAATCAAATCCTTTCGTCACGAACTTTCTTTTTGGTCTTTGACAATCAATGATTATCAAATCATCTACCTGGCAAAAAACACGATACAAAAAAACAACAAATCAAAAAATTTGACAAACAAATCTTATTTAAAATACAAAAAAAACAGACAAAATGAAAATTTACAAAATCAGATTTACTAAATCTAGCATATACAGCGAGCAAAGGTTTGTATCTAGTACTTAGTACTAGAATGAATGAACTGTACAGAACGAATAAACTGTACAGAACGATCTAGCAAGAACATCAACCATAGTACTATAAAAATAGCAAATGTAGATCATTCCTTTTACATAATTACAAGGAAATTATCTTGACGATCTCACATCAAAGAATAAATAGGCATATAAAAAAACCCGGAAAGATTAAAGCACTGCAAGCCATAAATAGCAAAAAACCGTACATATACGACTACAACGATACAACAAAATTAAGTAGGAGTAATTAACACAAGTAATTGGTTAGGGTTAGGGTAATTAGCCAATGAGGTTTTAGATTTCATGATGATCTAAATTTCACGATAAATTCGCAACAATAGTTATAAGTTTTGATAAGTCAATGCAAAAAAAAATGGGTGGTTCAGTATAAAAAGTTTTTTGCTAAAATGATAAACTTAATGTTCATTTTTTAACTATTAAATTTCTTTAAATAAATCACATTTCTTGTGTTTTATTTATCTTAATGACAAGCACGTCTGATTGGTTAAAATATTTTCTGCTAGTTAGGATTTAATTCCCAAAATACTTCTGACACATTTTAATTCATTGATTGAGATGCTTGAGAACACATTAAATAGATCTTTTATAGATTTAAATAGTATATATTAATTACTTAAATTGACAAATGTTTTTTTATACTTGTCCATAAATTATTAAAAATAAAATTAAATTAATAATAGATGTTTACGAACTCGAATAGCCTGTTTTGAATGTGTTAATATACACTTATCACCCAAATTATTACAAATACAATGAAATTTTAATCATTAAGATCGCAGTGTTTATTTTTTTGTATAACATTATTTTTTGGAAGATAAATTAAAATAAAAAAATACCAAAAAAAAAATTAGTGTTACCAGAATTTCTTTCTCTTACTATGATAACAATGCCTAGTATTATTACTGTGCTTTGTTA